GCAGCACGGCCCCGTGCTTCCACCCGGGTGGTGCATTGACATTAATGATCCTGTTCTTCTTTCGTACGACCCGTACTTCCGGTCGCATGCAGCAGCTGCAGAGGCAGCAGCGGCGCCACTCTTCAGCGCAAAGGAGGGCCGCTATTACGCTGACCGCGCGTTGCCGCTGTGCCGCACCGGGGCCCACTCGCTCACGTCCCATCCACCTGCAGCAGTGTGTGTGGAGGGGGAGGGGGTGGGCAGTTGGATGCAGGCGCGCCGCGTCGTGGCGCAGCGCCGCTTTAAGGCTGGTGAAGTTGTCGCGATGGATGTGTCGGAGCTTACCGTGGTGGAGGATTCACTCGTTTGGCGCTTTTTTCCCCCACCATCGGAAACGTACACGACGCGGGGGAGGAATACGAAAACGAAGAGGAACACCACCAACAACGATAACAGAGGCAGCAATAATGGCAGTCACGTGAGCCACAGAACGTCTCCTGCGCTGGTGGCTGCTGCACGCCAGATTGTGCTTCGCGCCCACGCAATGCAAAGCGGTGAGGCGGCACTTGTTGAGACTGGCTATGCTCAGTTCCTCGCCTCACTACTGCTGTTGTGGGGAGACATGGAGCTGTTGCCTACCTATGCAGAAACTAGAGAGGCTTTGGCACGATTGACGTCGTCTGAGAATGTGCCTCCTGCTACGCGAATTAAGGCACTTCGTGTTTCTCAAAGTGCTGAGCAAATGATTGAAAAGTGGTGTGCAGCGGCAGCAGACGAGCCGAACCCTTTTTTAGGTCCACTACATCGAACTGCTCTGCTGCTTCTTCAGTGTGTCCCACCGGCGCTACTGTCATGCGAAAGCAAGGATGCAGCCAGGCCTGGTGGCTGTATGTCGCTGAATTCAGGCGCTGAGCTCGTGATGCCTCACTACGGCTTTATCCGAAGAATGCAGCTGCACCGTCCGGCTCGCCTCACACAGCTGCTGTTGGCCTTCTCGCGTTACTCCACTTCTGTTCAGGTGCCCGACCTCCCAATGCGGAGTGGTTTCTTTCCGTTCCTGCGTCTTCTTCCCCATGAGTGCCGTCCGAACTGTTTTGTCATGTTCCTCGACTCGCCGGCATCACATTGCTATGGTGAGGCAGGTCACTTTGACTACAACACGACAGGCACACGCATCGACGACGAGGTGGGCGTGAAGCCAGTGCTGCCATGGGGGTTCCCATGCTCAGATCGTGTTTTTCTTCCGTCTGTGGCGGTTCTGGTCGCATGCCGCGATATTGAGCCCGGGGAGTCTTTTTCTCGCAGCCTGTTCCATTCAGCGTACATGACGCAGCCGCAGCGGTCGCGGCTTTCACGAGAGCTGTACGGTGTTTCGTGCTGCTGCCGCTGGTGCTCGCAAGAGGCTGATACTGCGCGCGGGTTCCGCTGCCCGCAGTGCCCGCGGGACTGTGGTGTTATTTGCCCCACTGGCGATGGCAGCCGCCTAATGGAGTGGGCGTGCATGCAGTGCGGCTATCGCCCCGACGTGGGCGAGGTGGAGCGCTGCCTAGACGAGGAGAAGGAACTGGGCACTGTAAAGGCTGACAAGACAATCGGGTTGGTGCGTCTGCTACAGGCGAAGCGTATGCACTACAGCCATGCGATTGTGTTCCACAAGGTTGATGTATGGTGCCAACAGGCATGGCAGGACCGGGACGCGTCCATGTGCTTGGAGTACCTCGACCTGATGCAGAAGAGTGTGCACCGCGTACTGGACCCGTGCGACCCGCAGTTGGCGCAGGTGCACGAGTTTACCGCGCAGATAAATCACGCGGTTGGCTCCGCTCATACGGCACGGTACGAGTATTTCCTGGCACTGCAGATCCGCCTGCGTGCTGGCATGCGTTACGCGCACTGGACGCGCAAGACGTGGTTCATGGCGGCGGAGAAGCCCCTCACAGAGTTTTTGGACAGCGTCTGAGCAATTCAATGACGAAGGGAGGGTGGTGAAGGAATCAACCGTAAGTGGGGGATGCTATATCGAAGTTTCTGCGCTTGGTATGGATGTATTAATAGATAGCTGTGAGCAGGCACTACCTTCTTGCTGCATTCCGACTTCATTGTTACTATGCTCTTGCTTTTTTTTTTTCTCGTTGTCGCACTACTGTGGAACCCCACTGAACACGAAACAAAACAAAACAGTGCTTTAGGGTGTGTGTGCATGCCACCAAAGGCGGGCCGGCCCGGCCTGAAGAAGGCGGCCAAGGCGCCGCCGCCGTGTGACCCTGTCGCAGAGCTCAGCAGCCTTGAGGCCATCCACACCACGCTGACGCAGGCGCAGGAGCTGCGCAACTACTACCAAGTGGAGCGCGACAAGGTGAATTCGTACTGGGAGGTGACGAAGGCGGAGGTGGAGAACCACCGCTACGCCGTCCTCAATGCCGAGGCGGGGTTAGAGGAGATGGAGCGCGCCCACCAGGTGGAGATGAAGGTGTACAAGCAGAAAGTGCGCCACCTGCTATATGAGCACAAGACAAAGGTGAAGTTGTGCAAGGAGGAGAGCGACCGTCTCTTGAAGGAGGCAGAGGAGCGGCACCAGAAACAAATGAGCGACATCCGCGCAAAGCTGGTGGAGCAGGGCAAGCAAATTGAAGAGGCGGCGGGGAACCACGAGATGCGGATTGAAGAGCAGCGTGACTCCCACCATTACATGGTCGCCGTCACCAAGAAGCAGAGCCACGAGAAGGACATTGCGCGCCAACAGGCCATGTATGACGCAAAGCTCAAGTCGCTGCGCGATGAGTTGGAGCTTCGGCGCCGCGCAGAAATACACGAGGTGGAGGAGCGGAAGAATGAACACATCAATGCCCTCATTCGGCAGCACGAGACGAAGTTTCAAGAGATGAAGACATACTACAACCAGATCACCACCAACAATCTCGAGATCATCCAGTCCCTCAAGGAGGAGATTGCGCAGATGAAAAAGAACGACGAACACAACGAGTCGTTGATGTATGACATTGACCGCGAGAATCAGAACCTTGTGACGCCACTCGAAGAGGCGCAGCGCGAGGTGGCGGAACTGCAACAGAGCCGCAAGCAGTATGAAAATGACAAGCGCAGTCTCGGCATGACCCGCGCAAAACTCCGCTCGCTGCGCGAGGAGATATGGCGTCTGCGGGAGGAGCACAATACACTCGAGGAGCGCTACGCCAATGTGCACCAGGACCGCGAGGAGCTCAAGGCGAAGTTCGGGTCCGCACTTCAGCAGGCGATGGGGGTAGTGGAGGAGCGCAACGAGGTGCTGCAGCAGAAACTGATTGAGTCACACGCACTCGTGGAGGAGCGTGACGCGCAGCTTGATGGCGTACTGCACGCGATGAATCTTGAGCCTACTGCACTTGAATTCATCGCGACGGAGGTGGACCGCACACTAGAGCAGAAGAACCAAATGATTAAGGACCTCCACTTTGAACTGAAGAAGGGGGAAAAACTGTTCAACGCCACTCTCCTTGAGCTAGAGCGGCGCTGCCAGGCGGTGAACATTCCGCCACTTTCCCATGAGAGCTTCACTGTGTAGACTGTTTGCTTGTGGCTACACCACACGAGTGATGGATGATGTACAATTGTTGCCCCACTCGGCGCTGTGTGAAAGAGGGGCATGTGGCGTTTGTGGTTCGCATTTCACTGTTCCATCCTGTTTTTTTTTTTGTGTGGTGTCTTTTAGACTTGTGCAGCTGCTGCTGCTGCTGCTGACGTGGCCGTGGTGCTGTTCCCTCATCGTCACGCCCCGAAACTTCGCTCTCCCTCTCTTTTTATTCCGTTGACTCCCCCACCGAACGCCCTGCGGCGCCGCCAGCGGGTGACGCCCACCACACCGTGGCGCACATTTCACAAAAAAAAAAACAAAAGAGGTAAGGGGGGCGAAGAAGCGCAAAGGAATTAATCAAAAAGAGGTGAGGAAGTTGGTTCGACAAGACAGTGAGTTTTATGGCGAGTATGAGCCAGCAGGAACACTTGGGTGTCATCTGCGTGGATGTTAGCGAGTTGCTGAAGGAACATGCGCGCCTCAAGGTTGAGAGGCGCGACAACATGCTGCTCTACAACGGCTCGTACCTCATCACGGACCCTTTGCCGCCTGCCACGCCACGCGCGTCATCAACAGCAGGCGGGCGCACGCCGTCGACGTTACCGTCGCCACACAGGCCCTCCACTTTTCGAGTAAAGTCCTTGAATAAGAGACGAAGTAGGTCGAGGGACAAAGGCCGCGTCACGCAAAAAAGCCGCAGTCGCAGTCGCAGTGGCAGCAGCAACAACCCCAACAAGCAATGTAGCGAAAACTCTAGTAGTGAACACATGCCCACTCCCGAACCACCGGTAGGGTCGTCGCCCAGCACCACTGCAAATGGATACAGTAGCACGATCCTAGTGCAGAGGTCGATACTGCCGACGCTGAACGAGGCGAGCGGAGCTGGTGGCTCCTGCACGACAGGGTGGCAGGGCGACGCGCGCCTCTACACGCCGCTAGGTGACATTGACGACGGGAGTTCGCAGCAAACGTCAAGGGCGTCGCGCGATTCTCGTCGGGTAGTGCTGTTGGAGGATTCTGTTGACGGTACTTCAGTGGCGGAGGCACAACAGCAGCCGCAACAACAACCCAGTGAATGTGAGTCTCCGCTGTCAGAGGGTGCTGCACGTGCGCTTAGGTCTGTCATGGCGTCGATGCAGCAACGCATTTGGGCCAAGGCTCAGCGCGTGAATGAGCCACTGTCGGGGGATGGATCCGATGGCGTGACTCTTACTCATGGTGACAATGACGGTAGAAGCAGCAGTATGACTGGAAGCGGTTACGCAGAGCCTGCCCCCTTGGCGATGATCGGCACACTGGGGGTTGCATCCCTTCCCTCTACACCAGATGCGTGGGGGGACCCGCGAAAGTTTAACAGCAGTGGGGAAACAGTGGCAGCACCGCGGCGTCGCGTAGCTAACACAGAGCGAGCTGCAACACGCCCGAACCGACTGCGCGATGCGCGTGGGACAGAGCGGATGGTGCTGTTGGGCATCGTGCCGTCGCTGCCTAAACCTGTCCCTCCGAAGCCGCTTCCCTCAGCGCGTGGTGGCTTTCTTGCGACGCTTCCACCCGCGTTTCGGAGGGTCGCGCGGAATGGCACGGCGCCTACAAATAGGCCTAAACGGTTCTGAGCAATTTGGGCTTTGCATGTAAACGAACACGAAAGTGACAAGACAAGTATATATATATATATATAGTCGATGGGCGCAATACAAATTACTTCTTTCATGGGTGCATATGTTAAAAAAAAAAAAATGTGCATTTGGTTTGCTTTATTTGTCGGAGAATGCCCTTCTCGGCTCCTTTCTGCATTTTCTTCTTGTGGGCTTCTGTAGGCAAGGTGAGTTGTTACGGTGGTGAGGCTTATAAAAGTATATATATATTTTGGTGGGCGGTGCGCCACCTCACGTGCCGTGTAGGATTGAAAATAGGAGGAGGAGGAACACAACGCTTAGATTTCGCGTTTTCCCTTTCTCAGTCACTCATTCTCTCTTTTGCGTCTGCACAGGTGGCGCAAAACCAACAACAAAACTACGCACTTTTATCTACGCATCTATTCAGACGTTAAAAGCCGCCGACGCAATCGAACACATTGACCGGTAAGGAAAAATGGATCTTTTCGCTGGCCTCAACCGATCGGCGCAGTCTCGCCAGCGCAGCGGTACGCACCGTGACCATTCCTCCGTCTCGAGCGTGGCTAGCCGTCCCGCGCGGCGTTTGCAGCAGCGGAGGGGAGGGGCGGAACAGCTTGAGACGACACCGGCAGAGGATATGCACCTCTTCACTCAGTGTGTGGAGCAGGTACAACGCCAACTTAAATCGAGCATCAACTCTCCCAGCGTACTCTACACATTGGCATCGTACTACACGCGGGAGGAGCCGTACGTGGAGGGGCGGCCCTTTTGCGTCTCACTCAGCTATGCAACGTTTCTCTTTCACATTCAGATGGCACGTGTGAATGAGGGCGAGGTGCACCTGTACGTGCAGCTGATTAGCGCTATTTTGTCGCAGATCTCCGACGACGCGCGGCTCACGCATCCCTTCGTGCTCCGCGTGCTGCGCGACGCCGTTTTCGGGCTTCCGTCACCGACTTGTGTTGGCGGGGCACACTGCGTTGCGTTGGTGCCACCGCTGCAGTACCGCGCCTTTGCGTTCCTCGCAACTACGCTCGTCGACGTTGGAGTTGTGCCGGTAGATATTCTCTACCAATGGCAGGATAAGCTGGAGTCACTCTGCAGTGCTCAGTCGCCGATGGTGGCTAACCGAGCACTCACTCTGCTGGTGCACACTGTCGGGAGCGTGCGCATGGACGAGCAGATCAAGGCGCTACAGTACGTTTTGAAGACGAAGCCGCGCCGAATGAATGTGGACTTCCTGTTGGCATGTTACGAGCGGCTCAAGCGAGCCGTGCCAGAGGTGATTCATGGTCCCAGCTATGGACGTGCTTTGTCTATTCACTGTAGCGAGTTGTTCCTGCGCTTTCGCTCACCAATTCGTCGTGAGTATGTGGAGCGTTTCCTTTATCCAAGTCTGAGCAATGCCGATATGCAGTCCTTTGTCCAAATTCCCGCAACACGACGTCACCTTTGTGGAGAGTTGCTGCGTCAGTGTACACCTGGTATGAGCGTTGCCAGTCCATACTACCTTTGCCTGTGCGCTATTATGCAGTGGGCGTTTGAGGAAGAGATGGAGGGTGCGGTGGAGGTTGTGGAGCTAATCAACTGCCAGATGCCACACGCCGCCTACTTTGTCGCTACCCTGGCTATAGACACACGTATGTCTGTTTCCATGCTTGCAAAGATGGTCATCGCGCTTGTGCGTGGTGCCGGGCTCGCCATGACGGGAAGGGAAGTGTCTGACAACGTTGCCTCTGTCCTGCAGAACCGCACGAGTGTGTACAATGTGCTGTTCCTGCTGCGCGAGGTGGTGCGTAATTGCTCGGTTACGGCCTCGCGGAGGGCAGCAGACATGCTCAAGGCGCTCCGCATTGCTGTTCCCGCAAAAACCGTGGAGACACTGGGAAAACTTGCGATGGAGGCATTTGATGATATCAGCGAGGCCGTTGTTGATCCGCAGCTCTTATGCGCTGAACTGGCTATGGTGCTGCACCAGCTTCACATTGAGGAGGCCATGGATGCTGCGGTGTCGCACCTGCGTGATGTGACAGCGGTGTGCATATTCTGCGGCATGGGCCGCGGCGCCTCGCCGCTTTGCAGCGTGAACGGTACAATGCACATGACAGGACAGGCATCTGTCAGCCGTGTCCTCACGACACTCGCAGAGTGCGCTGGAATGCCGTCTGTAGAGACAAAGCTCATTCAGCTACTGCGTGACCCCGTGCTGCAGATGGATAGTGCTGTGCACTTTTTACTGTTCCACATCCTTGCACACGCTGGACAGCATCGCAACGCACTATTCGTCGTGGTGGAGCCATACATCCGCAGCACCCTCACAACATTGGTGAATGCCGACAGAGTATCTGCAACTGGCTTGGTGACAAGCCAACAAAAGGCCAACGTCCTTATGTTGCACGTAAAGCTTGTCATTCTCCTCTCCAACGCGATGGATCCTTCGTACCTTGAGAGCATCCTTCGTGTGTTCTGTGAAGTTCGCCTGCGCAGCAACCACGACGCATTGGCGCTTTGGTACATGGCCAACTTGCTCCTGCGGCAAGGGAAAGGTAACGTGGAGCTGCTTCCAACCGATCCGGCAGAAAACAACTACTGCGTTGAGTACCCCAATTGTGCCCCCACATGCAATACAACCGCCGATAATGCGCAGTTACTGCTGAAGATCATAGATAGATCCCACAGCTTCAGTGATGAGATGCGCAGGCTTGTGGGGTGCTGTGTATGTAAGCTCATTCAAGACTTTAACGTTCAGGCGCCGAATATAATTGGTTCACTACTGACACCCTTTGGCTTCGTTCCTGTGGGATTGCAGGCACTCAGCGATTACGCATTGCCGGTTGGACCCAGCAGCACTTTCTGGTCCTTCTTTGTGCACCAAATGAAGTCATCCGCGCCGAGTCGCACTGCTTTTATGTCGGCGCTCGCAAAGTCCATGTCGCAGCGCTTCCGCATCACCACACCGGCCGACGCGGTTGCTGTTGACGGGAAGGAGGTGACAGGACATCTCTTTGCAGTGATGATGTACGAGGCAATGAAGCGCAACCCGCCACTGGCCCGCGTCGTGCTGCACATGATTTCGCAGTGGGTCAAGCAACCGCAACACCCACCTGGCAGGTTTGTCTGCCTCGTGTATATTTGCTCACAGCTGCTTACCGTCGTGGCACGGCGTGGCATTGGCTCTGCGGCGGTCGAGGTGGCCACGGAAACGAGGCAGGACACGAGTCAGTTCGCCGATGCCGTTGCGAAGGCGACAAAGGTGGTCCACGCGCAGTTGCCGCGTCTCGCCAAGCTGGGGCCGTTAGTGCGCGAGGAAAACTCAGAGTTCTACCAGGTGGTGCACCGCCTCCATCAGAAGGCAAAACGCGTTGTGGAGGAGGCGAGTGGTGAGTCCTGCGAGGAGAGTTCTTTGATATTCGATGATGACAATGCAGTGCTCGCTGATAGCGTGCACGACGCGAGTGATGTGGGTGGAATGTACTCCCTTGACACACTGCAGCAGCCAGGTGACAATAGTGTCTTTGAAGAATACATGGATGCGGCAGCGGACGCCGAGCCTCCTGCTCCACCTGTCACGCTGCAGCAGCATCAGCAGCAACAACAACAACAACAGCAGCAGCAGCAGCAGCAGCAGCAGGAGTACCGTCAACAGGAAAAAGTGCAACATGAACAACAGAAACAACAACAACAAGAACGGGAACAGAATCAACTTCTTCAACGGAATGAATTACCGGAAGCAAGTCTGGTATCGCGTGCTCACAAGTTGTCGATTTCCTCCAAACAAAATCAGAGTACAATGACATCGCCGGCGAACAGTGTGGGCTCGGGGCGGGGGAGGCGGCCGCGTGAGGTTTCTTTCGTCTCTGTCGATAACACAGATGTTGCAAACGTAAGCACGGAGGGAGAGTACAGCAGCGCACCGCCTCTTCCCATCGCACAAACAATTTACAGCGGCCGTGCCAAGAAGAACATAGTTGAACAGGAAGAAGAAGGAACAGATGAGGTGCGTTCTCAGTCACGTGGAGTGCAGACAAGTCCACAAGAACGGCAGGTACTATTACGTTCTCGTGGCATAGAGATATCGCCGAGAATGCCACAGATGAGTTCATCAACTGCCAACACCAGGGAAGTGGGAAATAAAACGCCACAGCAGCACGTGACCAGGACACCAGTCGCTAGAGTTTCTACTCCTGTTGATGGTGATGCTGGTGTTGACGACGCCACGTGGCGTGAGCCAGACCTCGACGAGGTGATGGGTGACGAGGAACCTATAGAAAAACTTGCACTGCCGCTGCTGCAGGCTTCACAGCTTCACGTGGAGGGTGTTGCCGTGCCCTCAGGCCTCGTCCTGGAGTATTTGGCAACCCATCAGGGAACCAAGTCTGTCCTCCATGAGTTGCAGCAGCTCGAAAGAGAGTTCTACACCACACGCGCGTATGATGCTGCCGCCGCTGCAGCAGCAGGTATGAACCAGTACCATGTGCCTCACCAGGATCCTGTACAAACCACTGTGGCCCCACCACACACTACCATTCTACCCGTAACGGTTGAAGGAAGGCCGAACAACTACAGTGTTCCACATTCGACTCATGCTCAGGCCCCCAGCAAAACGGTAATGGCGCGTCTAAACATGATACAGACAGTTGACAGACAGACACAGCGCGAGGTGCAAGCCTCCCACCGCAGTGAGAACGAATCGTCTACTAGTAAGAAGAGGCGGGTTGAAGATGAAACTGGCGTGGAAGGACTGCGCTCTGCCGTACCGCAAACCCCGGCACAGCGTCCGGGCGGCGGTGTGCAGTTCTTCTTGCAGCAGAATGCCGCCTCTGTCATGAAAGACCTGAACGGCATGCGAGGACAGGTGGAGGCCATGGCAGCTGTTGCCACTCCCAACCGTGGCAAAAGCGGCGGCGTCGTGCCGCTCAACCAGACAACACCTTACGGTCAGGTGGTGCTGCCGCAGTGCTTTGTGGAGCAGAAGAACGACACCGCTGTGCGTGAGATTCGCCAAGTGATGGGCACGCACAATGCCAACGATAATCGCTTATCGACCGGCGGTCGGCGGAAGATTCGTGGCAGTGGGGGTGTGGGCGGCGATTCGGAGAACAGCGCGGCGTGGTGGACAGAGGTAAGTTCGGCTCCCATGCCAAAGTACGCTACGGATCCGCAGTACTCCATGGAACTGTTTTAGAATAGAGCGGCAATTCCGGGTATATATATATGTGACTAGATGCACAAGAATGGGGCTGTGGTTCATGTACCTCCATTTTTTATTCACTCGTCGTGATGACGGAGAGAAAATAGACACACAAACAAACACACACACACACACACACACGCGATCGCACTCGCGTTTTTTTTTTCTGTCTTGGCTGTACTGCCTTGTATGGTAATTGCCGCATTCACGTCCCCTTTTGCTGACTTTTCTTTTGTAATTTTTGTGTAAACTTCGACGACATTCTTGTTTTTCTACAGATGGCGGGAGAGTTGCCGTGGGTTGCCTCGTCCATTCCCGTTGCTGGTTCGATTGTTTCCGATGCAGCAACATCAATAGGGAGTATGCGCGCCACGGAAGGGGTGATCCGCAGGGGCGGGAGGGTCATGCTGACGCTCTCCCTGACCCTTTTGTGGTGCGTCTCCTTTGGCTGCACGGAGGTAATAGCATCGGCGGCGCCGATGGACACCTACTCAATTCTGTGCACCTGTCGCTGCTGTTACCAGGGCGGCTGTAGTCCGATGCCGAACATCACCTGGGTGGTGAATTCATGCGACGAGTGTAGTACGGCGATCTGTAATGAGCACATACGAAGTAAGGAGGTGCGCATGGAGACAGCGCGTCTTTTTGAGGGCATCGAGAGCGATGAGCCCTTTCCGAGCAGTGATGGCACCATTCACGAGTGCAAGGTGATCTCCGTCTTGGAAGCGGCAACCTGTACCAGCAGGAATTGCAAGCGCACCACAACAATTAGGGCTGAGTGCTACAACCGAGATGCCCCGCTCATTAAGCACTTCATCATCACCTTTGTGGGAATTACAGCTGTAGCGATAGTCTTTGGTCTCCTTAAGAACCACATTCCCGCCTTCCAGGGTCTTAATGAGAAGTACTTTAATTACTGACACACCGAGACAGGGGGAGGGAGGAAGTTACGCCTCGAATGTACACACACCGCCGCAAGTTCTCATGCAACTTCCACCAACTATAGTAGGTGCGTGTTTGTGTGAGTGGGTGTGGCGACCTATTCCTGCCTTCACTTTGCCACGACCGGGCAGTTGAAGGGGGAAAGAGCGAGCGAGAGGATGGTGAGGAAGCAGAAGCCGAGAGAAATTGAGCGGGAAAGAACCAAAATGGACGATGGTGCTTGACTTATATATACTAAAAAGAAAAAAGAAAGAAAGAACCTCAGGAAAAAAAAAATGTTTCGAATTTTTCAACGCCACTGACGCCCATTTGTGTTTCATTGTGCCATCACCGGAATCATTGATGCTCGTTGCTTTTTTTCTGCCATGCTTTGTTGTCTCCCTGTAAGCCGAGCCGCCGCGAAGGGAGAAAAAAAAACCAGAAGGGTTGCCTTGAAGCGCAAAAAAGAAGAAAAAAAGAACGGGTGACACGACAGGGAGAACGTGAAAGAAGAGATAAGACGTAACATAGAGACTGTGAGACCTTCTACTAGCACCACACCCAGCCATGCAGCGGTATTTGATGAATACGTCCTATCTTCAGGACCAGCTGAAGGAGCTTCACACACTCCACAAGAAGACGGTCACAGATTATGGTGAGCTGGTGGAGAATCTTTTCAAGGAGTGTGCCATTCTTTGCGATGTTATACCCAGCTACAAGATCTCAGCAACGCTGGATGAGGAGGATGGTGGTCAGGGAGGACGCAAGCAGAAGGAGGTGTATCAAGTACAGAAGCTCGAGCATGAGGTTCTGACGCAGTACGAACACTTTCTGCAGTTGCTTCGTAGGTTGCAGCGGAAGTCCCACCCCGAGCAGCAGGCGCTTGGAAGCCGCCTTTGCGCTCAGTTGGTCAGTCATGCTTCGGAATTTAACCATGCGGATAAGCTGCTGACACTGGCTGTGGAGTTTGCCAATGCGAAGGCAACGCGAGTTGCGCAGCCGGCGTTGACTGCCCTCTCGGAACTCCTTGATGGGCAAATGGTGTCAGATGCCACGGAAAGCATCGTATCGGCCATGCTGAACATTGTACGTAAGCAGAGCTATGCGATGAACCCGAAACTGCTGAATATCCTTCTGCATGTCCGGGTGGCGTTAGTAGACATGCATCGCCGCGACCTGACGGAAGAGAAGGCCAAAAATAAGCGACTCAAAAAAGAGGATAAGGAATTAGCCCGTCAGTTACAGAAGAGTAAGGCACGACGGGATCGTGCTGAGATTGCTGTAAAGCAGGGTCGTATTCTGCACCGCATTTTTGTGATCTACCTCCGCGTCATTGAGGCATCCAAGTCGTGCTCGCAGCAGCACCAGACGAGAATCCTCGCACCAACGCTAGAGGGTTTGGTGAAGTTTGCACCTCTTGTGAACGTGGAGCTGTACCACGACCTTCTGGCCGCCCTGAAGGACCTTGTCAACGACGAGGAGACCTCTGTCACGACAAAATTGCATGCACTTGTGGCAGTCGCATCGCTCGCGCAACGGGACGCCACGACTACCGCCGGTGACTGGCGCGTGGACCTCAGCTACTTTCACGAGGTGCTGTTCCGCTGCCTGCTGCAGGCACTCGACATCCCAAAGTGCGAATCAGCAAAGAAGCCCGAGGCGCCTGACGAGGATGGTGACGTTGACGACGCGGCTTCGCAAGGTTCGACATCGTCTGCCGGTTCACTCTCTTCGCAGGCGTTCTCCATCGCGAACTCCATGGCGCAGGCAAACTTTGTGCAGTCAAATGCGTCAAAGGAATGGACATTTCATGTGGGATTGGTGCTTCGCGCTGTTGACCTACTGGTGCTGACGCAAAAGCATCTTCCTGTTGCGCGTGTGACTGCTATTGTGCGGCGCATTGCGCAGGCGATCCCATCGTGCCCACCGCACATTGGTTTGGCTCTGCTCGCGCTGAACCACCGCCTCATGTTGCGCTACCCAGCGGTGGGAGGCATCGTCATTGGCGGCAGTGACAACGTCATCACCGGTCACGGTGCATACAACCCAGAGGCCCTACAGACAGCTTCGGCGAATGCCGACAGCAGCTTCACATGGGAGGTGAGCTTGTTAACGAAGAGCTACCATCCCACACTGAGACATGTCGCGGAGGTGTTCTGCCGCCACTTCCACAAGTTGTCGAAACACACGCAAGGGGAGGCGCCGGTCGTGACGAAGCAGCTTGACGCACTCGGCCCATACGAAGTGATGGAGTCATACGACCCGTCGATGGGGGAGCTGCGGCCACCGCCGCCGCTGCCGGAGGTGATGCGGCGCAAGAAGGGCGCGGCGAAGCGAGACAGAAACGGCGTGACCCGGACGCGCACGGAGGACGTGGATGCCGCAGGGGAGGGGGCAGCGTGAGCCGTCACGCCTTCTTCACTGCAGCCGCATTGTGTACAAGCGTCTGACCGTGTTTGGTGTTGGAGCTGAAAAACGCGAGGTGCTATTGAGGTGCATATGGGTGTAAGAAGGTGATGTGCTCCTGTGTTGTTTCTAAACGTGCTAACAAACACACAACGGAGAGTTAAGGCGAACCGAGAGCAGTGAAATATTCCTTCCCCCCTTCTCCTCAGAGACAAGGGAGGGAAGGAACTAACGACAACAAAAAAGAAACACGATTGACTAAGACACCCCCAGTATAAACCAAAAATCAAAGTAATCGATGACTCTGGAGATATGTGGGTACTTGAAGTTTTTTTTTTGCTCGTTTTGGTTTCTTCTTTGGTTGCTTTCTAATTCGTCCGGTGAGGTATCACATGCGCATTTGCATACCTGTTGCATACACACACACACACACACACACAAATATCCTTTTACAAATATCAAAGCGAACGTATTCATTGAGTCGGAGAGTTCTGCAAAGAAGCTATTGAATTCATGATAGAATCAGCAATGAGCGATACAGTGCTGCGCCTCGAACCATACGAATATGCCCACATCACCAATGAAAATAGCAATACAACAGAGGCCGTCGTGGGCCCGCAGACACGTACACTACTCTCCGATGAGAGAATTACAAAACCCAGAACACCATTTCATGTTTTGCCACGTGGGTACTACTGCTGTATTGAGAATCCGCACATGCGGGCTGAAGACGGTGTCACACCTGTTATCGACAGCTATGGCCAGGTGAAGGTGCGTTTCGGCGAGCGTGAAATACGTTACGATGTTCCGGCGTTCCCGCTGTATCCAGAGGAGAAGCTTATGTTAATGCATCCCATGATAGTCCTCCGCCAGGATGAAGCTGTTGTGGTGCGTGCTCTGCGTGACTTTACGTCCGTCGACGGCGTGAGACGTGTTGAAGGGGAACACTATTTGTTCACTGGACCCGGTACGTACCGTCCACGTGTTGAAGAGGAGGTGGAGGAGCAGCGCCGCGCTGTGGTCATTGAGCCAGGACACGCTATTTGGCTGCGAGCGTTGGAAAGCTTCACGGACGACGACGGAAATTTGCGACAGAGGGGTGAGGAGTATTTACGCACACAGCCTGGGTCGTATTTCTGCCATGTCGCAGAGGGGTGTGTGAAGCATGTTGCTCCGCAGAGGTTGCTGCCAGACGATGGGCTACATGTTGAGGTGTTGCAACGGTTTGTGGATACAAGGGAGCACGCGAAGGGTGAGGAGCGCCACGCCGGGAATGTGTACGTTCTCACACACGAAGAGTGCCCTTTGTTTGTGCTGCACCCTTACGAGAAGATTGTTCGAAATGTGAAGAAGCTGCATGTCGGGAAGAAACAGTACGCCGTTGTGGTGGGTGCTGGGGAGTGCCAACGCCGGATTGTAACCGACGCTTCATTCTACCTGCAGGTGGGCGAGACGCTCGAAGGGGGCGCAATCCACAATAGCTACATCCTTAACGAAGCACAGGCTCTGTTGCTGAAGGCGTTAGAGGATTTTGAGGACACCGATGTGGAGCCACCTTTGAAGCGGCATGGTGGGGATTTATGGTTGCTGCGGGGCCCTCGGGAGTACGTTCCAAACGCTTTTGTTAGCATATGTCAAAGCACAGGTAACAGAGATGTGCGAGAGCGTATCATACTGACAGACGGAGAAGGAATTTACGTGCGCAACATTGCCACTGGTGCTGTTCGGGCTGTAAATGGCCCCGCCGCGTACATGCTCGAAGCCTTTGAAGAACTGTGGGAGAAAACGCTGCCACTCGATGTAGAGTGGTGCCTCGAGCAGCAGAGATTATCTCCCGAGACGAGTATTATGACACATACACCCAACGTGCCTTTTCCCGACCGATTGGAGGGTGAAACACACAGAACTGTTATGTACAGGGTCCCTCATAGGAGTGTGACACAGGTGTGCAACTACCGGGCTCTGACAACACGCACCATCTTTGGTCCCGAGCGTGTTCTCCTTGAGCCTGATGAGGAGTTCACGGTTGTCTGTCTCTCTGGCTCCCCGTGGGATCCGGCAAACCCTAACAAGTGCCTCCCCAAGGAGCCGAATCGTATCAAAGCACTTCACCTCTTCCTTGGCCCATCTAACATGACAGACATTGTGCACGTTGAAACGCGCGACCACGCCCAACTTGCCTTACAGCTCTGTTATGCATGGTACTTTGACGTCACTCCGGGTGACGAGGTGGCGGCGCGAAAGTGTTTTGCTTTCGGAGACTTTGTAGGTGACACGTGCTCTTTTATTGCGGGTCGCATCCGTGCTGCAGTTGCAACTTTACCATTTCAACAATTCCACAAGAATAATGCCAAATTGATGCAGCAGGCGGTGTTCGGTGTAGATCCTGAAACGGGAAATGCAGAGGAGGAATTGCGCTTTACGTCAAACAATTTGGTTGTGACATCTGTTGATACGCAGCGAATGGAGGTTCTCGACTCACGGACACGTGAGGGCCTGCAAAAATCAGTGAAAATCGCAATTGAAATCACGACACAGGCACAGGAATCAAGTGCACAGGAAATTGCCTTGACACGTGAGCAAGAGTCTAGTGCTTTGCTAGAGAGGCAAAAGATGCACGACCAGGTGGCAAATGAAACGCAACGAAGAGTGTTGCTTGAGGCTGAGGCACGAAGTCTTGCGATGGTGAGTTCAGGCCGATTGAGGTCCGTTGCTGATGCTGCGGCAAAGGCGGCTGGTGTAGAGTACGAAGCTACTATGCAAGCTGCACTCCTTCGTGCTGAGAAGGACTCTCTTATGGGCAGTGTATCGGCTGAAGTGGAGCGGAAGAAGAGAGCATTGCAGTATGAATATGAAGTTCAGCGAGCGGAATTGGCCCACACACTAGAACGAGAGCTTGCTGGCATTGAGAACGATACGTTCGCTGCGGTGATGAAGTATATCGGCCCTGAAACCCTGCAGGAAATGGCAAAGGCAGGGCCAGAATTGCAGGCCAAGTTGCTGGAGACTCTCGGGCTGGAGGGTTACCTGGTCATGGACGGCAGCACACCCGTCAATCTCTTCAGGACGGCCGCAGAAATGACCGCCTCTTCACCGTCACCGTCTGCGTGACGAGAAGAAAGAACATGCTTCGCGTTCGACTTTCAGTTGACATATGTCTCTTCCTCAATCTTATCTAGTTTCGTTCGCTGCGCACACACGCATATATATATATATATATGATTGTGGTTGGCTGCGTGGTTATACAGTCACCTCCGCACCGCTGCGCTTGGCAAATACTTGCCATGAAACAAAATAGGACAAAAAAAAGAAACTTTATAAGAGGCATATTCAATACCATGAATTGAGTTGTATCATGCTTTTGGTTTTTATTATTCGATTTTTTTTGTATTTCTGTTTTTGTATTGTTATTTTGCCCTGTGTGGTAGTATAGGAAGAAAGCACGCATTACAGAGCGGTTGCCGAGTTGTAGGAGCCTGCGAGAAGCACACCGCGTAGAGGAAGCCACAAAGGGGGGGGTAGCGTCGATGTTTCAACTAACCGCCGTCTCGCTGAGGAATCTCAACTCATGGTATGCGAAGGGCACCATGCGTGGCGGAGTGCCGCGCATCTACTATGCATGGATGCGTCCCGGAAGCTTCACACGGCGCCGCTTCGAAAAGATGCGTAACCCTTTTGTGGATTTAGAGACAGGGACTTCGCTCTACTTCCGCGATACTCGTGACTCTGCCGAGGCGGTGGCCCACGCGGCGGATGCCAAGGGCCTAAAGGGAATGGACAACGCAATTGACTTGTACAATGAGTACCGTATTGTGCCAGACCTTTACCCAGAGGGTTTTCAGTGGAAACATAAATTGAACACCGAGTACAACCAGTGGCGCTCCAACACATGGCTGACATCTGATCTCATCCCACAGGAGCATCGGGGACGATTTTTGTGCAATTTTCAACTAAACATTGTTGCGTATGACATGCGTGTAGTGAAGTTTAGTCCAAAGGATCACCGACAGTGGATCTATTGCGTCCTGTACATTGGAAGCGGTAAGGGTATTGCCGGATGGGGTCGTGCTGTTGCTCCTAGTACACAGGAAGCGAAAAAAGAGGCTATTAAAGAGGCATTCTCTAATATTATCGCAGTAGACTTGGAGCAGGAAGGCCCAATGTACCCTGTGCGTGTGAATGCGGACGGTGCGCGGGTGTTGCTGTACCCTGCTAAACGCATTGTAGCCAATTTTCGCGTTGCAGATATCCTTTGCGCCTTTGGTTTTCAACACGCAGGGTGCCGGATAAATCTGAAAGCGACGAACAATCCCAAGGCTCCAACTCACACTGTGGAGGGTGTCTTTGAAGCGGTTAAGGCCCTTCGAAGCGTGAGTGAGATTGCGGCAAGCCGTGGCAAGGTGCCGCACTCACTGATTTATAATATCTACCCTTATCTGGAAGAAATTCGCCGTCGCAAAGGTATGATGGCGATGCACCCGCCGGGGAAGGATGGGTTGCTTATGCCGGACCGTGTTGTTGACAACCGCCTTCCTGATCACCTGAAGAAAGGATACTACGATGATGTCTACTGGAGAGACTTCTTTGCTGGCAGCAAGGAACATTTAAGTGAGCCACGAATGGGACTTCGTGGTGACGAGATGCGGCAGCGACTTGAGGAGGCTCAGTCTCGCCCAGCGCCATCAACAACGACAGGACCAGGGCGCCGTACTTTGGAGGATGTGTTGAAACGATTAGGGAAGACGACGAAGGACCTGGGCTCGATCCCTGTAGTGAACCCGCGGCTGGACGTCAAACTGCCGACGCACGTCAAGCGCAACTACCCCCTCCACTGACGTGGAGGGATGGCGGAAGCGGGGAAGTAGCATACTGGGAGAGGAGGAAGGAAGCCCCGCGTGCGATCACATACATACCAGGAGTGAGAGGAAGTGAGTGGGGGTAGCGCTCTGGAAGAGGCGAATTGACTCCCATATCTTTACTCTGTGTTGATAAAGAGAGGTGCTCGATTTCTACTGCTTTTTCGCCTTTTCTCTTTTGTGTTCTCCTCTTCATCTTTTTTTTTGCGTTTGGATTTTATTTTTTCCCTTGGCATGCGGTAGTTGTTGCAACGTCAAGGGCACGTGAGGCGCAAAAAGGGAGGGAGGGCGTAGGCGATGACGAAAACAAAAGCCGTCAAGGAGAAGCACCAGGAGGCGCGGCCGTACGTTCAGCCAAACCAGAGCGTTGGGACCGATCTGCTGGACAATGAAGAGAAGAAGGACGCTACCTTCACGTCACTTGGCTTGTGCGAGGAGCTCGTCAGCGCCTGCACTGAAGCGGGATGGCGCCACCCGACACGCATTCAAGCGGCGACAATTCCTGTTACAGCTGAAGGGCGTGACATCATCGGTGTGGCCCAGACAGGCAGTGGCAAGACAGGGGCATATGTGCTTCCCCTCGTCAACTGGCTCCTGACGCAATCAAAGGTGCCGTACCTCTCTGTTCTCGTGATGGTGCCGACCCGTGAGCTAGCGCAGCAGGTAACAGCGCAGTTTGTGATGCTAGGCCGCAGTGTCGGGCTGCGTGTGGCGACGTTGGTTGGAGGCGCAGACATGGTTGACCAGGCATGTGAGCTGAGCAGGCGCCCGCACGTCGTGGTTGGCACACCTGGACGCATTAAAGATCACCTGAACAACACGAAGGGCTTTCAGCTTGTCAAGCTTCATGCGCTGGTCCTGGACGAGGCGGACAAAATGCTCGATATGGACTACGAGAAGGAAATTGATGCAATTCTGGAGCATTTGCCGCACAATCGTCAGACACTTCTATTCTCTGCCACACTCAACACGAAAATTGATCGACTGCAGAAGGCCTCACTGAATGACCCCGTCTTACTAGAGGTACATCGGAAGAACACGACAGTTGACACACTGAAACAGTATTACATTTTTGCTCCATTTGCGCAAATGCCACCGTACCTTCACTTGTACTTGACACGAGAAACCGGCAATCATATTCTTATTTTCTGTCGTAGTGCTGCACTGGTGCACCGTCTTACACTCATGCTTCGTGTTTTAGGCCATCAGGCACTGCCGTTGATGGGGCGCATGGACCAAACCAACCGTAACATTGCCCTGTCGAAGTTCAAGGAGGGTAAAGTGCGTATTCTCGTGTGCACCGATGTGGCGCAGCGCGGTTTGGATATTCCACACACCGATGTTGTTGTGAACTTTGCCCTTCCCGATCGTGTGGAGGACTACATCCACCGAGTGGGACGTACTGCACGTGCGGGCGCTCAGGGCAAAGCTGTAAACCTCATCAGTCAGTACGACATTGTGTTGCTTCAAAAGGTGGAGGCGGCCACTGGTGTGAAGTGTGTGGAGTGGCCCATTGCGGATGGCGATGTGGCGGCGGTGCTGCAGCGTGTTGAAGATGCGGAGCAGGAGGCGATAAAAGAGATTCGTGAGAATGAGCAGAAAACAAAGTTTGAGAAGGAGGAACGCCAGTTGACGACTGCGAAGAAGGCGAAGCGTGAGCGGGGTGATGACGACATGGGCCATGACGACGCCAAGCACGGAAAAGCGGATTTTTCTACATTGCGTCTGCGCCGCGAGCACGAGTCGGTGTTCAAGATGACGAAGAAGGAGCAGCATAAGACGCTCTGGGCGAAGCGCCGTGAAATGCGGAAGCAGACCAAATCGTGATAGCTGCATGCCAACCACAGTAAGCGAGCAAGCGAGAGGGAGAGTCTGTGTGTTTGTGGTGGAGGCGGTTTTTTTAGTCGTATAAGTGCTTAATGCGTTTTTTTTTCTTGAAATAAGGAAAAAAGATGGCCCTTCTTTGGTGTCTGATTCTTTTGAGGGCCATTTTTTGTTTTTTTTTCTTTCGGGTGTGTCATGCCCGTGGTGCTTGGATGCATGCTGTTGTCACACCTCACCACTTTTTTCTTCTCTTGCATATATAGGCGACTGGGACCTCGTATGGGTGTTCAAGAGCATCTCTCTTTCTCTCTGTGGTGTCTCGCTGTGGGGGGACGTGCATGAAGGTTGTACTGTATGATGCAGGCGCTGCTGCACCCAGGCGACACAGTGAACAATTCTGACGGAGGCAGCAGAAAGGGGTGTGCTGTACCTGATGGCTTGGGTGGAAAGGATCCACTGAGCTGCCTCACGCGTGAGTTGGTGCCGTATGCATCTCATTATTGCGAAGAGAATGTGTACAAACTCACAGAGAAGCTTTACGCAGATTGCGGGCTGCCTGGAGATGATGTCTTTGTGGTTTTTGTGAGCAACACGAGCAAACAGGTGCCTATTTGGATGCAGCGCTTGAGTGGCGGTGACGCGGACAACCCGGTGGTGTGGGACTACCATGTCTTTGCTTTCGTTGCCACTGCAATAACAACAACAACAACGATACACAATGGATGGGTGTATGATTCTGACACTCTCCTGCCGTACCCGTGCCCGGCGAAACAATATGTGCTGGAATCATTCCGCCCGCAGGTGCTGCTGCGCGACAAGTACCAGCAGATGTTTCGCGTCGTCCCGGGCAGGATGTTTTTGGCGCACTTCTCCTCTGACCGCTCACACATGAAAGATGTAACATCGGGGGGCGGAAGTTTGCCGCCCCCGCCGTGGCCGCCGATTCGCGGTGCACAGGCCGCCAGCGCCATGGAGTTGCCGAAGTATTGGCGCATGGACGTGGGTGACGCGTCTGAGACAGCGGTGGATAGTATTGGAACTGTGATGGATCTTGTGGCATTTGCGGCCTTCGTAGGCGCCAAGTGACACGCTGCACGTTTTTGTGCGTGACGCGAGATTCTAAAAGTCGACAGAACTTTTGTGTTGCTTTGACATTGCGTTGATTCATGCAAGTCTTTTGTAGCCGTCAGAGAAGGTATGTGGGAAGTGGGAAGTGGGAAGATGGCTGGGTGGACCTTCCTGTGTTCAGGCTTGTGGTGAATTTATAGTCTATGGCTGAGCCTTTTTCCATATTTCGCCACTGCAGTCCATTGTTCATTGGCTGCGCTTTCATTGTTTATGTCGTGGCTCTGATCGTATCCTATTCGTTTGCGGTTACTTTTCCTTTTGCTGTCCCCTTTGCATATCTCTCTTTCTCTCTCTCTCTCTCTNTCTATATATATATATATATATATATATATCATGAAGGAACGAAAAAGGACACGTTTGTGTACGTGTGCGTGTGTGGTGACTGAGGAAGACACGGCCGTGCTGATCATGTCCGGGGAGAATGAAGGAGGTCCATCCTCGACCATCAGGAAGAAACGGCTGCGCCACCACCGCTCAAAGAGAAAGTCAGACACCGATGCGACGGAGGTGGAGGTAGCAGAAGACGATGGTGGCAACACGCAGCTGCTGGAGGGGAATGTCGAATACGAGACAGAGGTGCAGTCCTCCGATACTCCAACAGCGGCGACGAAGCACAACGGTGATGAGGCTTCCGAAAGGCGACCCAAGAAACGCCGCGCAGAGGCACCACCGAGAGAGGAGGAGTATGAAGATGCCCAGGAGCAGCAAGGGAAGGGGAACGAAGCGCAGATAAAGTCAAGCAAAAGTGATGGTGCAGGCACCGGGAACGTGAAGAAGCGGGAGAAGATCCCCTTTGTGTCTGACTATAAGGCGCTGAAGCTGAACCCACACATCATTAGCGCCCTCGAGGGGGATTTCAAGTTCGAGAAGCTGACGGGCATTCAAGGCCGCTGCATTCCTGTCGCCCTTGCCGGCCGCGATCTGCTTGCTGAGGCGAAAACAGGCTCTGGTAAGACGCTCGCATTTTTGATTCCAATTGTGGAGATCATTGCGAGGTCTGGGTTTAGGCCAAAGAACGGCACGGCTGCCGTCATTATTGGCCCGACGCGCGAGCTATGCCTGCAGATTGAGGGTGTGCTGCTTAAGCTGCTCAAGCACTTCAACGGATCCATCACATTTCTTTGCTGCATCGGTGGTCAGAGCCGCAACCAGGAGGCATTCAAGCTCGTGAGTGGCACGATGATTGTGATGGCGACGCCTGGCCGTCTGCTCGATCACCTGAAACTCACCAGCGACTGGCTAACAAAGAACCTGCTTGCACTGGCCGTGGATGAGGCGGATCGCGTACTGGACAATGGTTTCGAGGAGGACATGCGTGAGATTGTCTCGCTTCTGCCGAAGCAGCGGCAGACGTTTCTCTTCTCTGCAACGCAGACGACACGGGTGGAGCAACTCGCTCGCATCTCCTTCTATCGCCAGCCGCTCTTCATTTCGATGAAGCGGCGCGAGGACAAGGCGACGGTTGACACACTCGAACAGGGGTATGTCATGTGCCCGTCTGAGCAGCGGCTGCTTGTGTTGTACCACTTTGTCAAGCGTAATATGAAGAAGAAAATGATCGTCTTCTTCAGCAGCCGAAACGCCGTCAGCTTTCACTGTGAACTTTTTAACTACATCGACATCCCGTGTGTGGCGTTTCATGGGAAACAAAAACAGCATCAACGTTCTGCAACATACGTGCAGTTCTGTAATGCGCCCAGTGGTGTGCTGTTTACTACAGATGTTGCCGCCCGTGGTCTTGACATACCGCAGGTGGATTGGATCGTGCAGTTCGACCCACCCGATGATCCAGTGAAGTATGTGCATCGTGTAGGTCGTACAGCACGTGCTGGGCGCTGCGGTAATGCCCTCATGTTCTTGCTTCCACAGGAAAAACTCTTTCTAAAATACCTTTACGATGATGCGCATGTCACAGTCAATGAATACGTCTTTGACCTCAGCAAGGTGAATGATAAGGTGACCGAGCAGCTGGAGCAGCTCGTTAACGCCAACTACTACCTGCGCACCTCCGCCCGCCAGGCCTACGAGGGCTACCTCCTCAGCTACAGCAGCTCGCAGCTGAAGAATGTGTTCAACATCCACAATCTGGATTTGGCTGCTGTGGCGAAGGGATTCGCGTTGAGTGAGCCGCCGCCGCTGAAGCTGGATCTCTCGCAGTCCGCAGCACACATGAGTAAAAAGTCACGCCATGAGTTTCGACGCATGAAGGAATCGAAAGACACAAAGCGGCAGGCGGTAAATGAGCAAACATTGAAAAAGCGCCACACGAACATTAGCGGCGAATGGTAAATATACAATGGTTGCTTACGAAGGCACGCAGCACCACCGCCACCAGCAACAACAACAAGAACAACAACAGGAGCAGGAGTGTTGACGTATTGATAATATGCCCAACAGGTACGATTAAGACATCAGGGAGGGGTATTGGGGACGGCCTGCGACTGCGTGTGGCTAGTGTGTGGCATGCTGGCACGTGAGATGCTTCCCCCCGATGTGACGTTTTTGGTTTTTGCATTGTATGCATGACCCATGCATGGAGTAAGGTAGGTCTTGTCTCTCCTTGCATTTTGGTACACGCCTTTTTTTGCCTTCTGTTTGTGTTTTTTTTTTTCTTTGGTTATGCGCTGAAGGTGTAGGGGTGGGTGGGAAGACGATAGAGCTTCACACACCGTCATAACCACCTCAAGCCGACTGACCTGCAGGACGGCGACGAACACACAGGGGGAGGAAGAGGACGAGCATCCGTAGAGGAACAGCTGCAGGTCACTCTAGCAGTGCCCATTCGTCTCCTCCTCTCTCGCGTCGTGCGGCGTCTTGATGCGGCGTACGCACGGCAAGCGAACGAAGGCGGAAAGGAGCATCAGTCCGGTGCAGCGGAGGTCTCGACGCCGCGCGGAGGCGCGCGGGAGCGATGCAGCAGCGGAGGTGAAGGATGAGGAGGAGCTGCAGCAGCGTGGGTTCGCCCACCTGAGAGGAGAAGGAGGCATCAACGCGTCGCTGCAAAGACAACAACCTCAGCAGAAGCACCAGCAATGGACAGCGGTGACCCCGTCGCCGGTGTCCATTCCAACGTCGGCACCTTTAGCTGATGGTGATGCAGTGTTCGCATCGCCACGTACTTCGCGTTCAGTGACGCGTGGGTTTTCCCATTTGCGGGATTCCATCTCCTTCGTGTTGCCGCAAATACGCGGTGACGTGCGTGCGGCTAGCAGCAGCCCACGCGGAAGCATTATTTTGCCAGTCTCCACACCCCCACCCGTGCCCGCCTCACGTGGCAGCTTATCCTCATCACACTCAGAGCGCGATAACCGAGCTCAGCAGCAGCAGCAACAGCAACAGCAACAGTACTATCTACCCCCTCAACGCCTTCCCCCTCATCGACATCACCGTAACGGTAGCAACCAAAGTTTTCTTAGCACGCGCAGCGCGATTGAATACCTCAACAGTACCGGATCGCTTGGGGAGATTATTTCTTCGCGTGGGAGCCTGCGCTCGAGCCAGGCGACGGCCTCACACAACTCTGTATCCCATTCGACATTAGGTCCGCTGGAACTCTCTCCCATCCTGAAGGAGGAGAAGCGCCAGCGAAGAAGACGCGGTGGTGGTGGTGGTGGTGAAGGCAATAGAAGTGGTGGCGGTGATGGTGGGCCCTCTACGCGCCGCCCACTCCTTAAGGGACTGCCGATAGAAGTGCCAGCGGCTCTGGCGAATTCCGTCGCGGCGGAGGAGCAACAGTCGCGGAGAGAGACGCTGGAGGAGTTACATCGCTCACTGGCGCGCTGTTCACGCGGGGCGACTATTGTTGCCCTCACGTTATTCTTTATCGCGATGTGGGGCGTTTTGGCGGCACCACTTATGTTGCGTTTGGAGGGTCCCGAGGATGTCTTGGTGCGACACTACGTCGACACGGTGTCGGAACTGCAGTTCATCTACGGGGTGCCGCACATGTCTCTCAACAGTAACGAGACAAGACGACTGTATCTTCGTCTGTTAAGTGAGACACTTGAGCGTTTCGAGAGGGCCACCTCACATCTGAAGCCTGGTGTTGACTTCAATGCACAGGTGTTGTACTATAAACGAATGATTAAGGCATACCAGACTATTCGACATCGAGCGCAATTGTACGCGCGTAGTCGCAACCGCAGTCGCGTGCGTCAGTACGTGCTTGACCCCTTACGTGATGCTTGGCATTACGGACTGCTGCGGCATGGTGTTGCACCAACACTGCGGGATGTTTTCTGGGAGCCATCATTATCACGCATGTGGGCGCGAATGAAGGACAGTGTGGTTTGTCTCCGCCAGGATGAGAAGATGCCATGCCCCACACTGGCGTACCTGCAGGAGAGGCAACAAGAGGAGGAAGAGGAGGGGATTGAGACAACCCCTGTTGACATGGATGACACTGTACAGGGGCAAAGACACCTGCATATGCGAGAGGTTTGGCGTCTACAGCGTCTGCTGGAATATGTGAAGAGGAGCTACCGCCAGAGCAGCCGTGAATACAACCATCTCTTCTCCGGCGATGACACTGGTGCAGTGATATCGTGAGGTTGGTGTTTCTCTCTTTTGGTGCTGGGGGGAGTGAGGGGGAAGTGGAGAGGAATGAGCTGGCCGTTTAAAACGCGAGCCGTGATGCATGATT